ACGAAGCCGGAGAAGAGGCCTGGGCCCAACAAAAGACTGTAGTGCCATTGATGAATGAATGAATTTATTGTTTATTGCAGTATTGTGCAACGGTTGTTATGTGCGAAAATTTAATATCGCTATTTCATTTTACAAGAGTTAAAATGCTTATCAAACTATTTCCTTGGATTTTTGCATTCTTAATTGACATTGATGTTCATTTATTGTAAGTAAAATATACAAGATATAGAAAGAAAGACGGATTAGTTTAGAATGGTAATATATTTATAATATATATTGCATTTACAGCTTTGTTTCTAATATCACAATTCTGATAAAGCAAAGGATTTTTTATTCACATAGAATCATATTCAATATCTGATCCATGTCATGGAATAAAATTTGAACACAAAGTATGAAGTTCCCCATAATTCTATCCACTGTTTGTTCTAACGATGCTTCCAACAGCAACTCTGATTCCTGATTTCAATCCTTAAACTTCTTACGGAGTATCAGTGACCGATAGAAAACTCCCAAATTTACGTGTTTATCACTACAGATGCGTCTGCCACGCAGCACAGTGTCACAAACTGTTGTACCTTGCAGTCATTCAGCACACACCACATCGATAATTGTTTTAAATGGACTTTTATATCTTATTCAAAGCTGTGTAGGATTTGATGTTCTCACAGCAGTGGCTATGAACAGTTCTATCTTCTAGACTATAGCGCTGTTTACTCAGATGAAACTGAACCGACATTCCAAAGGAACATATCAAGACAGTTGTGAACATGGTAATGAACTTTCGGATTACATAAAATGTTAAGAAATTCTTGAGTAGCTGCCCAACTGGCGGCTTCTCAAGAGGGAGTCAGCTCCATGCTGATAGTTATTCCTTACACATGTTCACATTTGCATTCCAAGGGCATGCCAGAATATTTGTATCTTATAGTCACTGACTACAAGCTGGACTCTGGGGTTTGATGCCCGGGAACGTAAAATTAGAGACTGCAGGATGTTACCGTATCCACAGGGACTGGCATGTTCATTTCTGCTTACAAGTCTAGACAACGGCAGCGTAAAACTGGCAACTCATCCATTCAGAACAGAGATCTAGAATAATCTGAGATTTAGTTTTGCATCGGTGAAGCGTCAATATCTCGTATCACTAGCAAAACGGACAAATTTACCCAGAATTTCTTGGTGGGTAACGTATTACATTGTCCTCAGAATGCCCGTGATTGCTAGGGACTTGCAATGACATTGGGAATTTTTTTTCTGATCTGAAGACTTCAGTCTGTTGGGATCTGACTACGTGTGATTTGCTAGATGCCAGCGATTCGGAGGAATTTGCTTATTCCGTCTTCAGGACAGAGCCTTCTATGAAACTACCAAGCTATACGGCGTCACATCCCATACGACAGTACTCTTCATGGTCACCGCCGTAAGAACGTCAAATATCACATTCTTTCGTGGCACCTGTTAACGAAATTAGTTCACAGAAACTCGTAATACGAGTATATGTCGCTGTGTCACCTTCGTTCTCATCTGTGTTTGAATGAAATAAATGTCAACTGTTTCCAGGCAAACAATTCTTTCTCTTCCATACATCGTTTTGTGGTTCATTTTGAAATCTAATGCCCGCCTCTGTGGTCTAGTGGTCAGAGTTCCTACCTACAGATCCAGATTTTCTGAGAAGTAGTGGGTCTGGAATGGGGTCCACTCAGCCTTGTGAAGATAATTAAGGAACTATTTCAAGGAAATAGCGGCTCCGGTCTAGAAAGCCGAAATTAACGGCCGTGAGAATTCGTTGCGCTGACCACGAGACATCCTCTACCCGCTATAGATGACACTAATTTTTCCGAAAAGTGACGGTCGCTCGGTCGGTATAGTTCGCTTGCGGACTAAAACAGCGGAGTACATAATTTAATTTTTTACTATCAGACAGTTCGCGGGATGCGAGAAATGCTTAACGTACACTGTCGGAAGATGACACTTCAAATTCAATACATAAAATATCTACAAGGAAGGAGATCTGTTTCTAAAGCGATAAGTCCCATTCATAGCGCGGGAAAATGTTAAAACCATCCAATAACACACTCGGGTACATAATTAAAACCTGGTCTTATTTTGCAATAACAACCTTCCTTTCAATGGATACATTCTGAAGCACATTTACGTTTGAATTTCTAGGCATATATACGGACGTATCTAATGTAAGTGCCCGTTAAAATTTGATCTAGGTAAGGTATCGCTTCTTCATGAAGTTTGGAGATGTAACAGGAACGAAAGGCTGTTGCCATGACGACATGGAAATGTGCTGTTCTCTCACTTCAAGGGTTTGTACGGCAGTAACGTTTGAATTGCGAGACATGGGAATTCCAGGAACAGAGCTTCGTTGTGATCTACTTGCGTTCCCATTCGCACAGCTGCAGAATCGGCGATACTGGATCAAAGCGAGGTAGATGGACACATCGTGTTCTCGCCTTGTACAGAGAACAGCCAACTGATTTCAAACAATGCATTCTTTATAACCTCCCCGTTCACATTTCAGAATTGGCTCACAAATATAACAGCGATTTATTCATACTTACAGAATTCTGCCCCTCACTCCTTTTTTAAGCTGTTCGTCTTTGAAGAAATTAGTTTTCTTGGCTATGGAGCCGCGTAGATATCGTGTTAACCGACGTTATTTGCTCACGTCGGTTCTTCGCTTGCGAATTTTCTTCTTTTTTCTTCTACCCTGAAGATGGAGGCGATACGTTCCTCCAAAACGTCGGTTAACACAACATACACACGGCGCCATGTCCCAAAAGACTGCTTTCTTCATAGTCACCGCCGTGAAAACCTCAAATCTTACATGTTTGTCTTTGAGTTCCTGCTTGGCATATCGAAGATGTTGCTTTGTTGAGTGTCCACTCTTCAAGTACAAATTATCCTCTTAGTAGATGCGCTTCAGTTGATAATATTGTTGCAGGGACGTTGCAATGTTTGGAACCAGAAATGTTTGTTTTAATCAAATTTTGTAGCTGTTCTTTCTTACAAGTATTGTGTTTTTGGACATTATCCATCGTCTTGTCTTTACTTAAAACCCATCCTGTTTATTTTTCAAAACAGAACGTTTCGGAGACTGGATTCTGTCTCCGTCTTCAGGTAAAACCTACTCAGTTGGCCCAATAGATAGAGCTGGTCCCTATCTCCCTAAACAGAACGTTTCGGAGACTAGATTCTGTCTCCGTCTTCAGGTAAAACCTACTCAGTTGGCCCAATAGATAGAGCTGGTCCCTATCTCCCTAAACATTTTTTTGAAAAATAAACAGGATGGGTTTTAAATAAAGACAGGACGATGGATAATGTCCAGGAACATAATACTTGTAGCAATGCACATCGTCACAAACTTTTAGATCTTATCTGTTCCTTTCTTCTTATTAAAATGCTAATTGTACTCAGTGTAAATGTATGCATTTTCCTAGTCACATAATTTCTAGCGTGATTATCCTCATTAAATTTTTAATATTGTCTAAGTTGCCTTGCCTTTCCTTTGTCTATGTACACGTATGTACGTGTTTGTTTCCATCTTTGGTCGTGCTTGTTCTATAATTGGCATTTTAGCTGTTGGGCAAGAACGTAAGTAAATAATTGAATTGAAATTAAAATGATGCACATCAACTTATGTTATTTCAACGTATGGAGATTGATGCAAATAAAAAATATATATGAATGTTATTTGTATAAATATATTTCACACGTAACTGTATTAGCATTATTTTGTAGGATAATCCAGCATCAAATCCTTAAAAAATTAAGACATTTTATAACTAAGATAAGACAGAATCTTTTCTTCAGCCCTTAAACATTCATGGAGAGCGTGGCGGGACTCACTAGTTAATAATTAGGGCGGCCGCACACCAACTGCATCAAGACAATCATCAAGACATGAGACAAAAGACGCAGTCTTGCTTCATTCGTGATTGGTCAGCATTTAGCTGACGTCAGCATCATGACTCAGACCGGTGTGCGGCGGTTTTCATAATCTCATTCGTTTCAACTGTGCTGCTTTCTTTGCATCATGTCGCAGACATCGTGTCTTGACTGTTACATGTCTTGACGCATGCTGGTGTGCAGCCTACCTTACACAACTAGTTGATATAGGTATGTTTGTTGTTTCAACTGCGGCAGACACTCATTTTCTTTGGTTACGAGACAAATTCTCAGTCTTCTCATTGTCGTCATATTTACGTAGTATAATATTTTAGGTACAAAAATATCGACATCAAATATCTGTGAAGAATTCGACGAAATCCAAACTAAAAGTTAGTGTTCATTCTCAGAAACTTTCACGACGAAACGACATGACCCGTATACATTTTGAAAATGGAAGGGTTGAAGCAGTTGCATGATGAATCCCTACTTGAATTTTTTATTTCTGTGGAACTGCCGTTGTTAATTTCTTTCAATGCGAGTTTACATAATCGTAGAACACATGGAAATTAAGTTTTCTAATGGCGGAGATCCATATGAATATCCCTGTCATCTCTTTTTATTTCTGTATACCGTCTACTGATTTACACTTGTAGATACCCTGAAGAAGGAGGCAATACGCTGCTCCTAAACTTTGGTGACTTTGTATCAGGCTACAGGCTTCATATTTTTGTAGAATAAGACTCGTGATATCATGTAATACAACGTATTGATTTTGCTCTGGCAGCCTGACAGGTCTACGTAAGGACTCGATAGTTGCGAATCAAAACGACGGGTTTAAAAGCAGACGGAGGGGGAATGAAGGAGGAACGCACATCCGTTTCAGTGTTAGAGTAACGAGGGTTTCCATCTTGAAATCAGATCAAGAACCACTGAAATCTGAATCCATTTGAAGGGGAGTTCTCCACTGTTTCAAATTCCGTGGTTCTACCGGCATAACGGAACCAGATTCACAATGTAATAAGCAAATTGTGACCATCTGTTTAGTTTAGTCTGCTTATGTTTAATATTTTTTTTCATTTTGTCGTTTCTTTTTCTAGAGCCACCTACAACAAAGCCACAGTGGAGATTAAATGAGGACTTCTACCAATCTCAACAATCACATGATGATCTCGTCCACCAAATAAGAGGAGGTGTATATAATTTCCATTTTTCAAGATTTGATCCAATTACTAACACGACGTACTGGTTTATTGTCAACTAACAAACTTATTGTCATACCCGTGAATGTTGTGTCCTCTCACACACGACTCCTGGAACATGTCATAGTCAGACTGATCGCCATTTTGCATACATACGCCTTGAGCTTCATATCCTTTATTACCATAACGAAATTATAATCTAGTTCACAATTTCAACTGCATTATCAGTCTTCCATGGTTGCTATCATAGCTGCTTGTCATTTATGTAGTCGGTTCGTGCTTTTTTTAGCTCCGTTTTTTCGACGTCCCCAGCTCTCAAATACTGACCCACCGCCTGATGAAGCGAGACGCGAATAATCACAATTTTGTCTCGTCAGGCTGTAACACGTAACTGTCATTATATTTCAGTCTTCTTACATAAGTGTGTCTTTCTTTATTAGAGGTAAAATTAAACTAATGCTGTTACTAAAGATCCTCAGAATGTAGGCCTATTAGTTATAAAGTTTCTTCTCCGACAGATGCTGTGCTGCTTTGTCAGGCCGAAGAACATTGTCTGTGAGATTGACTGATAACTGGATTTGGAAATATTTTTGTCTCTTCAGTCATATATCGTCTCTGTGGTCTGGTAGTCAGAGTTCCTGCCTACAGATCCAGAGGTCCCGGGATCGATTCCCGGGGCTGTCAGATTTTATGAGAAGTAGTGGGTCTGGAACGGGGTCCGCTCAGCTTCATGAGGATAGTTGAGGAGCTGTTTCAAGGAAATGACGGCTCCAGTCTAGAAAACTGAGATTAACGGCCGTGGGGATTCGTTGCGCTGACCACGCGACACCCTCTATCCGCTAAAATTGGCACTAACTTCGCCGACAAGCGGCGGTCGCTTGGTCGGTATAGTTCGCTTGCGGACTAAAGGGCACGGAGTTTGTTTGTTTTGCAGGCATATGTTCGAGAAGTAATCTGTTAGAATTTCTGTTGGGTTACTAGCTCTATTTACAGAATATTTTTGTAGTGTTTCTAAGCTTGTTCTCATTTAATGCCAAGATATTTATCATTAAATATCCACAGCCGACTTCATCCAAGTTATCTCCATTTTAACGTTCGTGAGAATCCTCTCAGTCCATTAAATGCTTTACAATCTCTAATTATGCAGAAGCTCCAACAAATAACCGAAGAATTAGCAGTTTTCACACAGGTTTGTCAGTCAAATATGCGCCACTCCCTCAGTTTCTTAAGGACGAAGAACAACACATTATAATTCGTATAGTGTCTCACGTTTCCATAATATCTTCCTTTAGTTTTCTGAAATGTTATTTTTTTCTAGAGATCCCTACGACAAAGCCGCGATGGAGGTTGAGTGATGACTTGTACCAGTCTCATCAGTTCCATGATGGCCCCATTCACCAAATTGAAGGAAAAGGTTTATCTTACTTTCTTTTGGCTTGCATTATGTCTTGAACTAACACGGCTACTAACACGACAGTTTGTTTACGTGTCAATAACAAAACAACCATTTTGTGAAGTCTGCAGATTCTGTTTTGTTATGCCTGAGCTTGTTGAGTTTGACTGATGGCATTACTGCATATGACCTCGGTTTTAAAACCCTGCGTCAAGTCACTTTCGGTGTGGGAAAATTTTAGAACCTGTAGTTTCTGATGCCTGGACCTCACCTACTCTAAGAATTGCCAGTACATTTGTATTTTTCATTCGTATTCATTCATTTCTGTACTAAATATTGTTTCATGAGAATATTTAATGTAAGAGTGTTCCACACTACAATAACCAATTCATGTACATTCTAAATTGTTCTGACGATGCTGTATAACGCATAGAATTAATGGGGGTTTTGGACTTTTCCATCATCCGATATTCTGGCAAATAAAAAACACGACGTTTCCGAAGCTGGATCTGTTTCCGTCCTCAGGTGAGAGGGGAAGACACCTAATCAGTTGGGCCCCTAAGAGAAAGAGCTAACCTCAATCACTGGACAACCCTTGTCAGATTCACATAGCTATTTAATCACCTGAGACCAGGCTAATTCGAAGGGAGATGACAAGATAATATGCAATAACATTTCTGATAAAGTAGACACATGCGTGGAAGTCGGATAGAAAATGGGGCAGAAATATGTCGTACAAATGTAACCAACAAAACTATGTGCGTGAGTACCAATAAAAAGAAATCGAGAAAAACTGTGAAGACATGTTGTATCTACAATCAGTGCCATCTGTAAGAGTACATCAGTTATCACAATCCAACTGAAAGCTAACAATTTCTTGCAGTACTCATATTTTTTCTGTATCATCATAAAATGCAACATATTATTTAACGTTTATTGTTACGCAAAATGTCATTGCCCAGTTTAAGTGGTATGTTGCTATGCCTATCTCCGGAGTCTGCGCAGTCAACATGTTCATATTGTTCAGAGTGATTCCCTAGAAACAGGCTGTAACGGCATGATATTAATACTGAGTTTCGCTCAAGTATGTCATTTCGTTAAAACGTTGCTAGTAGGGACACACTGACAGACGGCCGTAGATAGGTAACAAGCCTCTTCTCGTTATGAAGGAGTAAAGTTATCTGAAGATGCACTGTCATGTTCTTCCAACTTCAAAAATGTTAATCGAAGTGAACAGTATTTAGTTCAAAAATCCAGCCTAAGCTATTTGACGTGGATATAAAGCACTCTGATATAAGTTTGTTTGCTCTCACAGAGGGCACAGCTGCTCAGCGTCTCCCATACAACGCTAATCTTGAAGTGGACTGTACGCTTTATTCAGTAACATGCATCGCCATGCCTATATAGGATAACTGAATGTCCTATACCGAATTCATGCGGTTGCTGAGGGTGTAATTTGGAGCAGAAAATACAAATAATTTGTTTAATTGATCATTCTTATCAGGTTATTAAGTTTCATCTGTTTCAAGGAAGTAAGACAAATGTACATTCATGTGTACAATCGGTTATTTACATGTAACATCTGTATTTATTTCAATTAGTATGAGAAACAACTATTTTGAAGATATTAGCTCTATCGCAGTTTGAATTTTACATCAGTTTTGCCTCGAATATCTAATTATTCATTTATAAAGCTGCTCACATTTACCTCCACCGGCGCGTACGCGCGCTTCACGTCGACTCTAAGCGGAATCGATGCCGTGAACCAGTTGTACAGGCCGCACCTGTCAGGTCTTCGCGATCTTATGGTTCTGTGGCACACAGTTCTCTTTTTGATCCATTCCCATGATAACAAATTTAAGTGAGACCAGACTGTGGGACCAAAACGGCCGTTACGTGTCCGGAAAATGTTTGATCGAATAACTTACGCACTTGCGTTGAAAAGAAAGTGGGTTGGAGCGCTGTCGTGATGAAACCACGCGCCCTTCCCAATACTAACTTACGTCTTTCAACAGAAGGGGAAGTCTTCTCTCAAGCAAATGGACTACTGGTTTACACTGAGACCCTTCGCTTGCACGCATGGTTCACTTTGTTACGTGAAGATAAAGTTGTCCCTGTGCTTACCTAATTAACCACTACGCCATGAAGGCGTATGGGGGAGTGGATATATAGATGCATGTTTTTTTTTTTACCTTGGCACTAGTTGGAGGTGAGTGGTCAGCTTCACGCCCCTGTCGCTTTAGCCCCGGGGAAACAGCCCCCGGTATCCATTGGATAGTAGTTTGGGTGGGCCCCAGAACCGGTCTGGACGATTTCAAGAAGAGAATATGATTGCCCCTGCCTGGGCTCGAACTGCGCGACCCCTCAGCCGTCCAGTCAATAGCCAATCGCTATACCGACTTCATTATCCCGGCTCCTTCAGTTTTGTAGTCGTTTATAAATCAGTCCGAATGTTGACGCTAAACTTTTGTTAAAGCGAAGAGTGTCGATCAGAATGAGAATGTATACCCCGCTTTGTCACTCCATAATGTCAGAGGCCATCGACTAAACTGGAGGTTATCATTACATACTTTGACTGAAGCTTTTGCGTAAGTTATGCATGAAAACGACAACTACTCCCCATGCAGTGCACGTCGAAGTTCACTCTAAAAAATACTTTCACCTCTTGCAACCAGACGAGCGCTAGTCGATTTCTAACAACTTCTCTTCATTCTACAAATAGCGCCTGCGCCTGCCACGGCCAGCGTCTCTCACACCGCAAAGTACTGTTGCGTACTGCATGTCTCGTCTGTTGCTTCTGGTATGGCTAACGTTTCTGGTATTTCCTCCACGCAGCTGTAGCATTTCCATCGCAAAAACTGTAATTTTAATACATTTCAGCATATGCTGCATTAGGCTACTCTGGCATTCTTTCACCTTCTATCGCAAACTTGCTGTCTGAATTAGTGACTCATAAGCGATACCAGTATGGACTTAATTTTGTGGCATATTATCACGTATTTGGGGTGTGACTATAGACGGGGTATGGAGTGGTGAATGGATTCATTGACCACTTATGGACACCATTTGGAAGTACACGCAATTACAAAGTTATCGCTGAACTTTACAGTTTACAAATCACAACAGCACCCGCTAAGCTTTTTTCCAGCCTTCTCTGTTAACAGCCGTTCCCTAGCAACGGCTTCTAATAATGGAGATTTTTCAGCTTCCCGCGCTCACATCTTTACTCTCGGGCGAATATCCCGCAACTGAACTGACTGACAACTCATCTATAGTGCCATCTCTTCTCAGCCTCCATTGTAGAGCTCGACTCAACTGACTAGGTCACAGGCTTGCCTCCATTTCATACCCATCTCCTAGTCTTCTCTTCACAGGCTGACTTTCATCTGACTCAACTGAACTCTCTCACTCACAAACTAGCTACATCACTTCACTTCATTCAACTGAGCTGCAGTCCGCCGGGCTGGGTTCCTCGCTATATAGCCTCGGAGTGAACCCAAAAGAAAACACCGTTCCTCTGTAGATGCGCGCGTCCACCTCCGAGGGAACGTGCTTACCCAGCCGAGCCTTAGAAAACAGGTTGCATAACCCCGTTGTTCTATGATTCCGGGCGTTACCTAGCAAAGGCCTCTGTTTGCAGAATCACTGCTTAGGAATAGGTCTAGTAACCAGAATATGAACGTTCCACCACACGAGCGTACAAAAGTCAAGACTGAAAAATTCAAACGCCATAATTATGAACTGTTTTTTATACAACCGTTTCTTTGCACTTTGCTCCAAATTTGTGCCTCCTTAACTACTAGCTAAATCTGGCAATGAAACTTTCAGTGGCTCTATACATATATTTCACACTATCCTTTTGTCTGCCCCTCAGGCTCCCATTTCGGAAGCTAATAATAATATCGGATAATAATAAATAAAATGCTGCTCATTTTAGGGAGGAAATCACGGGTTTTCTTTTGTAATTTCGCTGTTACATGCATAGGATCGAGTCCAAATCAACTCCTTTCTGCTTAAAATTACTAAGGAACATTCAGCTACAGAATAACTTAAACAGGCTGTTTTATTCCGACATAAGGTACGGCAGTACGTCACGAAAACGGAACTGCATTCCTTAGCGTCGCCATACAAGCTTCTGCACCTCTTCATTTGCTTCCATGAAGATGAAGGCAGCAGATGAATCGTTATAGGAAAGCACTGGAACGGTACAGAAAACATGAAGATGTAATTTTCATTTTACCATGCAAAGCAAAATAATCATGCCCTTTCGCTTCTAATAAGTGATCTGTAATCACACATTGAGTGACCCTCATGTACATCCACACATACTATTGCAAGGAAGTAATATTTTATCACAGAGTTCTATACAAAAACTTCAGTACATATTCCTCTGCGTGGATATTTTCTTCTGATAAGGTTCGACAAACTAATGAAAACACTACAGATACTGTACACATTTCTTTATTCGCGTGGTGTTGGACCAAATTTTGCCTTCAGTACAGACGGAAATTTTTCTTAAAATGAACTCGTACAAGTTCTGAAGAGTCTCTACCGGAATTTTATACCATTCTTCTTGAAGAATTGCTGTAGAGATGTTGGAGGTGGTAATCTGTTCCTCACTCTAGTCTCCGAAATTGATCACAGTGATTCAGTGATGTTCCAATCTGTTGATTGTGCTGGCCAGGGAAGATGTTGAAGTTCACATTCATGATATTTAAACCATGACCAAACCTTTCCCGCTACGTAAATTGGAGCATTTTTGTCTTGAAAAACTACATCGTTTTTCGAAAATGTCTGGATCATGAAATGCACCTGATTACCCAATGTGTCCATGTACTCCCTAGCAGTAATTAGGCTTGAAGGATAATAATGGGACCCACAGAATACCACGACATTGCTGCCCAAGCCATCACAGAACCTCTCCCTTTCACTCTGTGGTATCAGGCATTCTGGATTGCAGGCTCCCTGTGTGTTCTCCAAACGTTAACTCTTCCTGATGCAGGTAACAGCATGGAGGATGA